TATTTGCTTGAGTTTTTAGCTTGTTATTTTTGTCGCTGTAATAATAATAATGGTGTGATGTGTGTTACTAACAACATTCGAGTGTGATTTCACTCTAGGTAAATGCTCTCTCTCTCTCTCTCTCTCTCTCTCTCTCTGCTATGAAAATAATTCAATATTAAAACCCTATTTACGATGAATACACTTAAGAAGTTGAACAATAACTATAATAAACATAAAAAAAATATAAATCTGTTTTTATGGCATCGATTAAAAAACTATTTGCTTTTAAAATGCTATAAAACATTAAATTGGATTACATTTTCTATCACGAGTTACATAACAATAGGGTAGAAAATATTATATGTAAACATCATGAACAGAAAAATAACTTAAACAATATGGGAATAAATATTTATTACATAACAATATCTCTCTCTCTCTCTCTCTCTCTCTCTCTGCTATGAAAATAATTCAATATTAAAACCCTATTTACGATGAATACACTTAAGAAGTTGAACAATAACTATTCTCTCTCTCTCTCTCTCTCTCTCTCTCTCTCTGTAATTCACTCACGAATATATTCACACTCATTATAATTAACCAAATGAGTACACTATACAGTACAGCACAAGTTCATTAAAACACTACAATACACTGCAATATAACGGGAGATATGAATTATGCAATAAATTAAATTAAAAACTAACATAACTTTTGTTAATAAAATGTATGCTTTTCTTAAGTGTTTAATTACTTTTTTGAATTATCTGTTCAACTATTAGTCAATTATTGTACACTTAAACCTCTATTACTAAAATCTATTTGGTGGACCCGAGGGCTCCATTAAAAGGTGTAACCTATTAGCGAGTGTACAAGTAATGGAGCATTTGTTAGGAGGGTTAGAGTGTTAAGGGTGAGCAAATCACTAATTATCAAGGTCATAGAGAGATCTAGAATTATGTAATTACTACTTATAACTATAATAGTGGTCACAAATAGGTTAGTCATGTGTGCAATAGTCTAGTCTCGGGGGCCATTATAGAGGGGTCTAACTGTACACTTCACTCATACACACTGTGGTTGACACAAATGTCACAACAATTAGTCCCCCGAAAACACACATCACATATAATATTGTGACATAAGAGGGGTGTGATGGGAGTGTTGGGTGTGATAAAGGGGGGGGGGGTGTTGTGGTGAATGGGTAGTGTGGCCAACTCACTCGTCACCCTCCGGGCAAACACCGGTGGTCTCGTCATATTTGGTACAGTAGACATCGGGCGAGTAATTGAAAGTGCCGTCCCGTTTCCTGATTGGTCGCCGCCGTCGCTGATTGCAAAAGTGCCAATAGAAACACGTGAACGGCTTGTGTTGGGTGCACTTGTGTTGCAGAAACAGCGGACACTGTTCGCACCGGAACTCCTTTAAATACCTGTGATGGGGTGAGATAGGGTGACCAGATTGAGAGCAAAAAAATTAATAGATTGTCATTTAATATTATAAAATGGTAAATAAATTTTAAAAAAATAAAATTAATAAATAATATACATGTGTGTGTACAGGCACGACAAAAATCAATAAATTATTATTTATCGCTCCCATAGGCCTAACGTGTTGTGTTCGAGTTGTGCTGTTGTTATTGTTGTTGTTTTTGGTTACATGCACATACAAAAATGACATGCACCCCCTTTTTCACTAGCCTAATGCACAGTACTGTACAGTGTATATACAGTGTACAGTGTGCGCCCCCTTTACGTTACATCGATGACAATGTCACCAAGGTTAAATAGTTAATCACGTTAACAACAACATAAAAAACACAAACTATCATGATCAAGGTAGTGCGCTACCAAAACAAACACACTCCAAACAACAACAACCATTAGGCCTATTCATCACTCAAAACAATAAATGACATGCCATTGGCACTAACATTACCTGGACGTATCGACTATTTTCTCACTATTAATGACAATTTAAAATTTAAATAAATATATCACCTAGGCACATTAATTTGGAAAAAAACTGTCGTGTACACTTACTGATAGTGCAATGGTTTCTCAGTCTGCGTGGTCAACTGTCCCTGTTGCTGTTGCGACAACTGCTGGGCGGCGGCCACTGCCGCGGCGGTGGCAACACTACTGGCGGTGGGGGCCGTCGGGGCGGGACCTCCGGGACCACCACCTGGTTGCACTGTGGGTGCCGTCGTGTTTGCTACCTTGGTGGTGTCACTATTGGCCACAGCACTTATACTATTATTATTATTGTTGTTGATATTAATATTTAAACTATTGGTAAAGTTATTTAAATTATTATTATTTAAACTATTATGGTGATTAATTAACTGATGTTGGGCGTGGTTGCTATGGTGATTATTATGAAAAGGTTGATGGTGGTGGTGTTGTGGTGGCGAACCCCCGCTAACGTTCGTCAATGGTGTAATAGTGGCGGGCATTTTGTTGTTTGCGTTGTTCAACAATGTCAGACATATTTATACATGTATAGAAAATCTATAGCACACACCAGCTATACCAGTATTATTATATGCCAGCTATGTGTATTCCACTGGCAGTAGGCACACACACACACACATCACTACGTTGTATATACGATGGTATACTGTATCACTGGTGGCAGCGTTGTATGTGTTATGCCAGTGGCCAATACATACACTACACGCTATGCGATACACTGTTTGTTGCTGCGAGAGTGACAGTGAGAGAGTTGGTGTTGGTATGAGAGAGTGTATGGGAGAGGGAGGGGAGAGAGTATGTGTGAGAGTGGCGCTCACTGTGTGGCAGTACAGTATAGTATCGATGCTATATTTGATATTTTTGTTGAAACTTGTTTCAAATTGTTAAAATTTTATTTACAGTTATTTGTTTATGTCAATATTAAATTTTGTTAACATGTTAAGCTGATTTAAATCCGAATTAAGTTATTATGGTAATTTTTAATTAATCCGTACAATTTTCACAAAACATTTGACGTTAATTTAATGATTATAAACAGTTAACGCAATATTCCAATGAAATTGTATTTATGTAAATTAATTGTACCACATCTCGATTATAAAGCATTTATAACAATAAGTCGTAAACTATTATTCATAACGACCATGATTAGATCAAATTGTCACAAAAATTTAAAACAATACACACATGATAGTCGATAGTATTGACACAATACTGTACAGCACGTAATAAGTGTTGGCTATGGGACTGTGTATACGCTGTTTGTATCACATAAGCACTGGTGTTGTGTTTTTCGCGAAATACAGCGCAACCAAAACAACTCAATGTGTGCCTCAATGTTGTGTTGTTT